CTTCTTGAGAAAAAATAAATATAAGACAGTGTCTTATTTTAGGGAAAACATGGTAATAAATAGCCTTCCATGTCATAGTGAAGACTTTAAATTTATTTATTTATTTATTGAGACAGAGTCTCACTATATCATCCCCAGTAGAGAACTGTGGCGTCACAGCTCACAGAACTCTGGGGCTTAAGCAATTCTCTTGCCTTAGCCTCCCAATAAATTTATTTTAAGAGTGATGGAAAATTTTATTTTATTTTATTACTTTTTGAGACTGAGTCTCACTTTGTCGCCCTCAAGCAATCCACTTGCCTCAGCCTCCCAGAGTGCTGGGATTACTTATAGGCATGAACTACCATACCTGACCCAAGGAAAATTTTAAAATTTTAGAATCATCACTGAAGGGGTTCAAGAATGAAGCAAGAAGACTACAAAAGTCATTATAGTATTCCAAGTGAAAGATGATGATTCTGGAACTAGGGATGTAGCTGAGATGATAACTGTTTGGATTCAGGATATATTTTGAAAGTTTAATTTATTATATTTTCCAATCTAACTTTGGTTATGAGAACGAAAATCAGAAAATTTGCATTCAGTGAGGGGGAGAACACTATGGGAGAAGCAAGTCTGAGAGAAAATTAAGAGTTTAGATTTGATTACATGAAGTTTCTTTTTTTTTTTTTTTTTTGAGACAGAGCCTCAAGCTATCCCCCTGGGTAGAGTGCTATGGCATCACAGCTCACAGCAACCTCCAACTCCTGGGCTCAGGCAAGTCTTCTGCCTCAGCCTCCCAAGTAGCTGGGACCACAGGTGCCCACCACACTGCCCAGCTATATTTTGGTTGCAGCCATCATTATTGTAGTCCTAGCTACTTAGGAGGATGAGGCAAGAGAATCGCTTAAACCCAAGAGTTTGAGGTTGCTATGAGCTATGACACCACAGCACTCTACCCAGGATGACAGCGTTTTTTTTTAGTAGAGACAGAGTCTCACTCTTGCTCAGGCTGGTCTCCAACTCCTGCCTCAGCTTCCCAGAGTGTTATGATTATAGGCATGAGCCACTGCTCCCCAACGGGTGTTAAAGTTTTATTTATCTTTGAGACAGAGTCTCACTTTGTCACCCTGGGTAGAGTGCTAGGGCATCACAGCTCGCAGCAATCTCAAACTGTTGGGCTCAAGTGATTTCTCTTGCTTTAGCCTCCTCAGTAGCTTGGACTACAGGCACCCACCACAATGCCTGGCTATTTTTAGAGACAGGATCTTATTCTTGCTGAGGTTGGTCTTGAACTCCTGAGCTCAAGCGATCCACCCTCCCCAGACTCCCAGAACGTTAGGATTACAGGTGTGAGCCACTGTGCCTGGCCAGGTGGTAGTGTTAAAATTTTAAATTGTGAAAGGATTTAGGCTTACTACCAGTAACCTTTCTAAACTTATTTCTAAACTTAACAACCCTAACAATAACATTGCCAAAGGAGGTGGTATAATGATCAGAATGGGGACTTGAGACCTGATTGTATTTCTTTTTTCTTTCTTTTTTTTTTTTTTTTTGAGACAGTCTCACTATGTTGTCCTCGGTAGAGTGCTGTGGCATCACAGCTCACAGCTCATAGCAACCTCAAACTCTTAGGTTCAAGCGATCCTCTTTCTTCAGGCTCCTAAGAAGCTAGGCCTATAGCTGCCAGCCAACATGACTGGATAATTTTTCTATTTTATTTATTTACTTATTATATATTTTTTGAGATAGAATCTCACTCTGTCGTCCTGGGTAGAGTGCCATGGCATCACAGTACACAGCAACTTCAAACTCTTGGGCTTGAGCAATTGTCTTGCTTCAGGCCAGAGTACCTGGGACTACAGGCACCTTCCACAACACCAGGCTGGTTTTTGTATTTTTAGTAGAGATGATCTTGTTCTTGTTCTGGCTTGTCTTAAACTTTTATCTGAGCTCAAGCAATTCACCTGCTGTCTCAGCCTACTAGAGTGCTAGGGTGATAAATGTGAGCCACCTGATTATATTTCTTACTAGCTGATTGTGTCTTTGGATAAGTCATCTGTGTTTTTCTTTCTTCCTTTTCTTTTTCTTTCTTTTAAAAATTTCAGTGTTTTCAAGGGTGCATATGTGAAAAATACTACCTACCTCACAAGGTTGTTGGAAGAACCAAAATACATATAAAAGTACTTTGTAAGTGGCATATTTTAGTCAAGTTTTAGAAGCTGAAGTTTCGAAATAATTACTTTTTGGAACTTTTTCCCAGAAATATTTTGTTTGTTTGTTTTTTAGAGACAGACTCTCACTTAGTTGCCCTTGGTAGAGTGCTGTGGCATCATAGCTCACAGCAACCTCCAGCTCTCTGGGCTTAGATGATTTTCTTGTCTCAGATTCCCAAGCAGCTGGGACTACAGGCATCCACCACAACACCTGGCTATTTTTTTTGTTGCAGTTTGGCTGGGGCCAGGTTGGAAACCACCACCCTTAGTATATGGGGCCAGCGCCCTACTCACTGAGCCACAGGTGCCGCCATTCCCAGAAATATCTTTAACTTTATCTCATTTAAAATAACTACAGTAATAATGGGGGTAATTATTTAGCCTATTGCTCTGTTTTCCATGATACACACTGAATAATCAGTTATTATTCATTGATTTCCATTTAGCTTTTCAGGAACCTATTATTGTGGACTATTAATGGTTCTGTGCTGTGTATAAACCAGCTCTCAATAAATGTCACATTCAAAGCATTTTTACACTAGAAAGATTCAAGGTGCAAATCAACTCAGAGCTCTGACAGGATCTGTAGTATTAAGGTTTTTCAAAATACTCAGATGCTCCATACTTTGAAATTGAAACAGATTCACAAGGGCATATTATTTCTGCTTACCTCTCAGCCTCCTGTCATCTTTCCCTGCTGCTCAGAAATATTTCCCCAATGGCTCAACACAATCTCATCTTTGGACTTTTTCGTTTGTTGTTTTATCTAGACACTCTTCCCTTGCAATACCAACTCTTTGTGTCTCACTTAGATGTCATCCATATTATGAAAACCTTCCAAGATCCCCTCACCAGCACCCTCCTGTACATCTCCAGTGCTTGTCATTCCACGCTGTGTGGTCACTTTATTATACCGCATTTAAATTGTCTGTCTTCAATAGACTGTGAACTTGGCTCGGTGCTCAAGCACAGTGCTTACTGCGCCAGCCACATACACTGAGGGTGGTGGATTCGAACCCAGCTCAGGACAGCTTAACACCAATGACAACTGGAACAAAAAACAGGCGGGTGTCGTGTGGCAGATGCCTGTAGTCCCAGCTACTTGGGAGGCTGAGGCAAGAGAATCGCTTAAGCACAGGAGCTTGAGGTTGCTGTGAGCTGTGACACCACAGCACTCTACCGAGGGTGACATAGTAAGACTCTGTCTCAAAAAAAAATAGACTGTCAATTTTGGGAGACAGTGTCCGTGTCTGCCTTGTTCACTGTTGTATCTCTCGCATCTAGTATTTTATTCAATGAAGTTTTTTTTTTTAAAGACAGAGTCTCACTCTGTCACTCTGCGTAGAGTGCTATGACATCATGGCTCACAGCAACCTCAAACCCCGGGCTTGAGCAATCTTCTTGCCTCAGCCTTCCAAGTCGTGGGGCTACAGGCGGGGGCCAATACACCCCGCTAGTTATTTCCATTTTTAGAACGGGATCTTGCTCTTGCTGAGGCAGGTCTCGAACTCCTGAACTCAAGCAATCCATGCACCTTGGCCTCCCAGAGTGTTGGGATTACAGGCATAAGCCACAAAGCCCAGCCTCAGTATTTTTTTTTTTATCGAATGGTGGCAGTTGATTAGAACTTTAGTCAAAGGATAATACTCTTCCAACCACTAGTCTTAGTTTTTTTTTTTTTTTTGAGACAGAGCCTCAAGCTCTCCCCCTGGGTAGCGTGCCGTGGCATTACAGCTCACAGCAACCTCAACTCCTGGGCTCAAGCGAGTCTCCTGCCTCCGCCTCCCAAGTAGCTGGGACCACAGGCGCCCGCCACAACGCCCGGCTATTTTTTGGTTGCAGCCGTCATTGTTGTTTGGCGGGTCCGGGCTGGGGATTCGAACCCGCCACCTTAGGTGTACGTGGCTGGCGCCTTAGCCGGTTGAGCTATAGGCGCCGAGCCAGTCTTAGTTTTTGATATTCCATTAGGACTGAAAGTTCTGGATTGATACATTTTCACTTTGTGAAGTTGAGATTCCTTTGACCTAAGCTTACAAATGGGAGCCCATTTGTCTGAAAGATTCAAGTTTTCAACCGGCAGAACTACCGCCGACATTGCGTGGAATCGAAGAGTACGAATCTGTATGACTGATCCAAGAACGACTGCTATGCTCTCTTGACAGTGAGCTGGAAAGAGGACCTACAGGAGCCACCACGATCCCAGGAAAGACGCGCAGGCTTCGCTTTTTCCCTGAACTGGCCAGTCCCTTCCACACTACCTCCTCCAGCGCGCCAAGCCGTTAGTTAGTCCCGCCCCATCCCCTCGGCTCCACCCATCTGACTCGCCCACATTACTAAACCCCAGCTGCCAGGGTGTGAGACGCATTCCTAAGCCCCGCCTCCGGGGCGACGGCGCGCTCCCCCTCCCAGCTCGGCCTAAGCAGTTCCGTTAGCAGCGGGAGGAAAAACCGTCCTTCGGGTCCCCGCCTCTTCACTCCTAACGCTTTACTCCCTACTCCCCCTGCGACCACTACACAGCCGGCTACGGAGGCCCCTAAAGTACAAATATCACCCCCAAGCCCTTGCGTATCCTGATCATTTTTGTCCTTTCTTACTTCATGCGGTCTTAAGGCCATGTGTTCTGTTTTTGTCAGGAATTCAAACTCGAGAGCTGCTTTCGGCGTAAGGAACTTCAGCGCTCTTCAAGGAAGTAAAAGTGATTTTTTTTGTTGTTGCTTCTGTGGCCGCCCGCATTCCTTCCCTCCCACCTCGCGGAATTGTGGCGGGAGGGGGAGGAGGAAGTTAGGGCGCCTGCGCGGAGAGGCCGCTTTCCATCCGGGTCCCTATCCGTGCGGTGCAGCAGGTCGGTAGGCGGGAAATGGCGACTGGCTGAAGGAGCTGGTTCTGTTGCTCTTGCGGGCTAAGCGGGAAAGACACCACACATTGCGCAGTCTGGACCATCGCCGGAGCCTGAGGACACTTCTCTGTCGTCACAGTTAGGTAATCCTCTTCGTCCAGACGCTGCCGCGGCTCCCAGTCTTAGTCCTCCTCCTCTTCCAGGGCCGTCTGCCGGGATCTCCTCCCCTTCTCAGCCCGGTCCTCCAGCGGCTCTGGCGCCTTGGTAGGCATGCACTATTGGCGCCTAGTACGTCCACTATGTGGAGCCACTCTTCTCTGGACTTTCCCCTGGGAACCAAAGGGGCGCTCACTTCCCGCCAGCTTCAGCTCTTAGGCTGCGGCCTGCGTTGTGATTTCTGGCGTTAGATTTCACTTTGCTACCCACCCCCACTCTGATCTCACGTTCCTAGTCCCCAACCCTGTGGTCCCTCTGGGTAATTAAGTTAGAAATCAGCTTTTCTAACCTTTTTGTCTTCTTTGATGTTTTTGGTATTTCATTCTTTCCAGTAGGGTGCTTTTAGGGGGGCGTTGCTGTATCTCATTTCTTGTAAACACCTTTTGGAAATCTGGGAGAAGGGATTTCACTAAGTTCTGTTTATCTTTTGTACAGTTAAAATGTTGAGTTGACAGTGTTACTTTTTCAGTTCAAGAGTGAAGTATAGCTCATGTGGAAGGGCTCTGGTTTCCATAGTGGTCAATTAACGGTGAATCTTTTTATATCCTTAATGCTCGCTGCTTTCTTTGGGTATTAAGTGACTGTATAGCAGGTTGGTTACTTTTGCATTCTTGATCAGAGTTCTGTGATAAATAATTGCATGAGTAAATGGTGTTTATTTACTTCTCACCCTAGTGGTGGCTGCAAGCGTGATGTTAAGTACTTTAAAGTACCTTAGGGAAGTCTAAAGAGAGATACTGCTCGTAAACTTCCCTGAGTTCCTCAAATGAAAAGTACTTGGTACATGTTCCTCCGAGGCAGGGATTTAACTTTCTAATGCTAGTAAAACAGTAACAAGATTAGTGTCTGACGTGGTTATACAAATTAGCGACTTGAAATGATAGATTTATCTGTGTAATTTTCAGATTGCAGATTGCTCTTTATATTCCAGCTCCCCGTTCTTTGCCAAGTTGCAAATTTTCATTCGTGATCCAGCTGTTGCCCTTATAAAAGCGGGACATGACAAGTTAAAGCTAGTTTTATTCATCCGTTTTTTAATTTTTTTTAACATGCAGATCAGTTGTTCATAACAAGTATTGATATTTTTCAGAATTTGTTGAATTTGGAGTCTTTGTAATTGTCTTTTTTCCACTAATCAAATTAAAATTTTAAAAAGTAGTGCATAACCGTTTATATTTATAACAAAAAGCTTTCAGCTTTGTAGTTCCAGCTCTGAAAACTCACTACCGTTAGTATATTAGGATTAAATTTCAGAAGTAAGCAGGAACACACAAATATCACTGTAGTCCTCGTTTGGTAGACTTTGCCCAAGGTCACAAAGAAAGTCAAGGCAAAATGTAGCTACTATGTGAAGCATTCTTTTAAGATTGTGTTGAACTTTGCACTTCTTTTCTACCACCAGTAGAGGTGGGAAGTGGAGATACAGGTATGCTAACTACTTGCTTAGTTAATTTGTTTAAAAAAGGGTCAAATGTGTCATTTAAAGGGATCTAAAACAAAGTTGGTCTAGTGTGGGCTTTGTAGTTTAATGACCTTTTGAGATATTTTATAGCATTAATGTTTATGATAGAATTTGGTATGCAATTAGCTGAGTGAGCATTGTAGACTGTTTTCAGAATTCTCCCAAATTATAGTACATACATCAGTACTGGCGCTCTTTTTAAAATTTTAAAATTTTATTTTTTTTCCTCAGACCTTGCAGGGATGAATCCTGCACTTTTTATACTCTTTTCAGTTTGAGTTGAAAGGAGCTGTAAAAGTTTTAAGTGGCATAGACGTTAACCCTTGTAGACACCTAGCTATATAGAAAATCCAAATAGGATTGCATAGGAATATCAAATAGGATTGGTATGGTTTTTGCGGGGGGGAGAGGGGTTGGAGGCTTTTGGCCAGGGCTGGGTTTGAACCCACTACCTCTGGCTTCCGGCGCCCTACTCCTTTGAGCCACAGGATTGGTATGTTTTACAATATTCTATTCTACATAGTGTCTCTTGGGCATTTCATTTGAGTTAATAATGTTATTCTTTTTCCACTATTAGAAGAAAGTAAAAATTGGGGAAGTTTTATTTTTCCCAAACTCATGTAGCTGATTTCAAGTTTGTGATTTCTGGTCAAGTGTTTTCTTCATGAGATTATTATATAATAAAATCTATAAAGAAACTTGCTCCTGTTATTCAGAAAAAATGTACTGGACTCTAGATTTGTAATTATAGAATTGTCAATTGAGTAAAATGGTATTAATTAATCTCAGTGATAGAAGACTGCTTTGGATTAATGAGATAATAAAGTGGGTTGTCAGAATTTGAAAAAAGTAATATCTGATTATATTTGCTATTTCTCAAGTAAGACATACTAAGTCACAAATACTAAGTGTGCTGAGAGGACTGCATGTATGGTGTGCTCTAGGTAATTTTTTTTGGTAGGTTAAGAAGTAAGTACCTGACCATTTTAACTGGATTGGCTGCAGGGGGTTATTTGTTCTACTTTGAGGATGAGAAGATTTAAGAGACATGGAACTGTATAATTGCATCTTTAATTTCTATTTCCTTAACATTTGCCATGAAGCATATATCTAAGCCAACCATAAATTCACTAGTGGGTATATAACTGCATTAATTTTTAATTAAAACTGTATTAAATTCTAATTGGTCCTACTTATAAGTAGGTAGGCTAAGCAGTTGACTGTGTGGTATAATTTGAGAATTGCCAGTGCTTAACTTTAGTTACATCTCTCTAGTGTTTTATGAAATTCTTTGTAAAATATCCTCTTTGAGATCACAGATTCTCTAGAGAAATTTTAATTTGTCTCTTATTGACAATATTAGCACAGATTAGCTATCAAATAGACTTACTGATACTATATACAGATGAAGAGTTCAGAGAAAAAGATAGAAGAGTTAATTTTTTGTATACTGCTTGTGATTAGGAGAAGTGTGTAATATAAGGGAAGATGGGCATGGTGAGAATAGAGTAATAGCAAGATGCTCAGGCCTTTTGGGAACCTGGCAATTAGGAATAGTGAGAATTAGTGTGACCCCCAAGAAGAATCCTAAGACATTGAGGACAATATTTTTTTTTTTTTTTTGAGCCGGAGCCTCAAGCTATCCCCCTGGGTAGAGTGCCATGGCATCACAGCTCACAGCAACCTCTAACTCCTGGGCTCAAGCGAGTCTCCTGCCTCAGCCTCCCGAGTAGCTGGGACTAGAGGCGCCCGCCACAACGCCCAGCCATTTTTTGGTTGCAGCCATCATTGTTGTTTGGCGGGCCCGGGCTGGGGATTCGAACCCGCCACCTTAGGTGTATGTGGCAGGCGCCCTAGCCGCTTGAGCCACAGGCGCCAAGCCGAGGACAATTATTTTTAACATGAGGTTGCAATAGGTCATTTGACTATAATTAGAGACCCCATATTTTATTGTATTTCATGGCTTTTATATTAGATTGAAGAAAAGGGAATATGTGTAGGTATTTTTTTTCTTCTTTTTGAGACAGTATCTTGCTCTGTTTCACTGCTTAGAGTGCAGTGGTGTGACTGTACTTCACTGCAACCTCAAACTCCTGGACTCAGCCATCCTCCTGACTCAGCCTCCCCAGTAGCTAGGACACAGATGCTTGCCTGTCAAATTTTATATTCTCTTGCCTCAGCTGCCCAAGTAGCTGAGACTACAGGTGCCCACCACAAAACCCAGCTATTTTTTGGTTGTAGTTGTCGTTGTTTGGCAGGCCCTGGCTGGATTTGAACCTGCCAGCTCCAGTGTATATGGCTGGCTCTCTAGCCACTGAGCTACAGGCTTTGAGCCTGTTTATGCTTTTGTTGAAAAAACCTAAAACTGGCTTGGTGCATGTGGCTAAAGCAGCTAAGGCAACAGCCATATACACCTGAGCTGGTGGGTTTGAATCCAGCCTGGGCCTGCCAAACAACAATGGTGGCTGCAACCAAAAAACAGCCAGGTGTTGTGGTGGGCGCCTGTAGTCGCAGCTACTTGGGAGGCAGAAGTAGGAGAATTGCTTGAGCCCAGGAGTTGGAGGTTCCTGTGAGCTGTGATGACATGGCACTCTACTCAGGGTGACAGCTTGAGGCTCTGTCTCAAAAAAAAAAAAGAAAAGAAACATAAAACTAAGGCCAAGTGAGGTGGCTCACACCTGTAACCCTAAAACTCTGGGAGACTGAGGTGGGCAGATAGCCTGAGCTTAGGAGTTCAAGACCAGCCTGAGCAAGAGCAAGATCCTGTCTCCTGTCACTTAAAATAGCCAGGTATTGCAGTGGTGCATGTAGTCCCAGCTACTTGGGAGTCTGAGTCAAGAGGATCACTTGAGGTCAAGAGTTTGAGGTTGCTGTGAGCTTCGACACCATGAATCTACTGAGAGCAACAAAACGAGACCCTGTCTGAAAAAAGAAACCTAAAACTGTTCTAATAGAAGGCACTTGAATACTTCAGAAATGATTGGAATTAAGTTTTTTTTTTTTTGAGACAGAGTCTTGATGTGTCACCCTTGGTAGAGTGCTGTGGCATCACAGTTCACAGCAACCTCAAATTCTTGAGCTTAAGTGAGTCTACTGCCTCAGCCTCGAAAGTAGCTACAGGCGCCCGCCACAACTCCTGGCTATTTTTTTTGTTGTTGCAGTTCTCATTGTTGATTTTAGCTGGCCCAGGCCAGGTTTGAACCTGTTAGCCTCGGTGTATGTGGCCAGTGCCCTACCCACTGAGCCACGGGTGCTGCCCTGGGATTAAGATTTAACAATAGCAATTTGTACAGTTTAGGAAGAATATTTGTCTTCCTTTGAATGAAAACTTACATATTGAGAAATGGTTTGGGAAATAAAAAAGCAAAGATGTTACTAAAAATAAATAAGAGGGTAAATAACTTGCTACTTTATTTCTTATGTTGACCAATTAAAGTAATCTTTAGAGATTTTAAAAGTATATTT